ACAGCCCCTTACATTGGAAGGCACTCAATGTAGAGAAGGCATTTGATAAAATCTAACACCCATCCCTGATAACAACTCTCAGAAAAATAGGAATAGAAGGAAAATTCTTCAACATCATAAAGGGTATATATGCAAAACCAACAACTAACATTATTCTCAATGGAGAGAGAATGAAACCACTCCCCTTGTGAACAGAAATGAGACAAGGATACCCTCTATCTCTGCTTTTAGTCAACATGTATTGGAAGTCCTAGCCAGGGCAGTAAGGCAAGAAAGGGAACTCAAAGTCATCCAAATTGGTAAGGAAGAAGTCAAACTACCCCTATTTGCTGATGATATGATCCTATACATAGAGAACCCAAGAGACTCAGCAGGAAAACTACTGGAACTAATTGAGAGACTTAGCATAGCGGCAGTATATAAGATCAGCATACAAAAATCAGTTCGATTCCTCAGGAAGGACACAGGGAAGAGGTAACTATGGGGAGGAAATGGGAAGAGAGATATTGCATTGTGGGAAATTACAGTCTATGTCATGAGACAGTGTATGTGAACTGCTGTATAGAAAATGAATTTGCTCTGTTAAACTTTCACCCAAATCACAATAAAAAGTAAAAAAAAAAAAAAATCAGTTGGATTACTCTACAGCAGCAAAGAGGTTTCTGAAAAGGAAATAAAGAAATCAATGCCATTTACAATGTTGTTGTTGTTATGGGTCGTGGAGTCAGACCTGACTCATAGCAACCCCTCCTTGAGTTTCCAAGGTGGTATCACTACAGAAGTAGATTGCCCAACCTTCCTTCTGACCATTTACTTGGGTATAAATATTACCAAGGCCACAAAAAACCTGTACAAAGAAAACTATACAACACTACTTCAAGAAACTATAAGAGATCTACATAAATGAAAGAACATACCATGCTGATGGATAGGAACATTGAACAGTGGGAAAATGTCAATACTATCTGAAACAATCTATACATTCAATGCAATCCTGATCCTGATCCCATCAGCATTTTTAAGGATATGGACAAGTGAATCACTAATTTTATATGGAAGAAAAGATACCTCAGATAAGCAAAGCTCTACTGAAGAAGAAGAACAAAGTACAAGGTCTCACACTCCCAGATCTCAAAACCTACTATACAGCTGCAGTAATCAAAACAGCCTGGTATTGGTACAACAACAGACACATAGACCAGTGGAATAGAATTGAGAACCCAGAAATAGATCCATCAACCTATGGTCAGCT